CTTGGTGAATGGAAGAACGTTCCCCCAGGCTGCCTTCTGTGAACGGCTCAGGACCGCCCGTCATTCACGGCTGGAATCTGAATGAGCAGCCGCCAGGGAGGCTGTGTGGTCTGCCTGCATTTGCAAACTAGTTCATGTCTTTCAGTTTGTCTGTGTTCTCTTCCCCATGACAGACTAACCTTCCAATCCCCCCACCCCCTTAAAAAAGTCCAAAGGGCCTTTAGTTTAAAAGGTAAGCACGTAAGCCCGGCCGCTGTGGCTCAGGGGCTGAGCGTCGGCCTAGGAACCAGGAGGTCAGGGTTCGATTCCCGGTCAGGGCACAGGCCCGGGTTGTGGGCTCCATCCCCAATGGGGGGCGTGCAGGAGGCCGCCGGTCCATGATTCTCTCTCATCATGGATGTTTCAATCTCTCTCTCTCTCCCCTCCCTTCCTCTCTGACATCAGTAAAAATGTATTTTTTTTTTTAAGTAAGCACTTAACGCAGAAGTCCAGATCATTCCACTTGAATGTGACGTTTCCGTTCCGTGGGCAGTAAGGTGCCTCTGTTCGTTCCCGCAGCTACGGTACATGGACAGCCGGGAGGACGAGCAGATCCGGGGCATCACCATGAAGTCCAGCGCCATCTCCCTGCATTACGCACAGGGTAAGTCCGTCTCCGTTTTAAAGAAACAGAGTTCTGGACCGTCCGTTCTCTTCCCGGGCTCATCGCATGCCTCCGTTTCTTTGTGATCTACTCCACGTTCGGCGAAATGACGGAACTTTTTTTTTTATAAATAAATGGGAATGGCGACATAACCACGAAACGACGTTCGTCCAGTCCGACGTAACCCGAGGGCTGCCTGCAGCGTCACTGTTGGCAGAAGCCATGGTGTGCAGTCTGGCAGGAGCGTGGCTCACTGGTTCTCCGACTCCAGGGCCGACACCATACCTTGTAAACCGGCTCCCCAGGCACCTGTCTCGGGCCTCCTCGTCCCCAAAAGGCAGATCGGACTCTCCCGTCCTCAGAGCTCCCAGGAATTGCTTCCCATGCCCCCCTTCACCTCAGCTTCGTCTTCCAAGAACGTGGCACAGTGGGTTCTTCCGGGCCGTCCACGTAATCACAGGCCACGGACAAAGAAGCATCGCTGAGGGGCAGCTCGTAAGACACCACGTGATGAGTAACAACCCTACGCCCGTCAGAGGGGGGTGCTGGGCTGCCGTTTCAGCTCCAGGCAGAAACGGTGCTCGCCAGTGAAGGCACCTGGGGATGGATCAGTGCGACCTTCCCAGGACAGCAAGCTGCCCTCACAGCCCCAGCGCACTTGGGGGTCCTTCGCCCAGTGTCGTGCCGCCCGCCGCCCGCGGGTCTGGCCGCCCGGGATGAAACGCGTGCCACCCTGAGCAGCGTGGCCGAGCGTGTGGCTTTGGGGTTAGATGGGTCTGAGCTTCCCGCAGTGTTTGATCTCGGGCGGGGAACCTCAGGGTCGGTTCTAGCCGCGTGTCCCGCAGAAAAGCATGGAGCTTTCTGGGTCCTCGTGTTCCGCTCGGCAAAACTGGGCCGATGGGAGCGGCCACCACAAAGGGTAGTTGTAGGCCGACAGGAAGGAGTGTCTGCAAACGGCTTGGAACGGTGCCAGGCACACAGGCCGCCACGGGTGCGAGCCCCGACACATCATCAGTGTCACCTCGGGCACGGGCCCTGTCATCGGGCTGTTAGAGTCCCCTGGGGAGAGCCCGCGATGCGCCCCGTAACTTACCGTATTCAGCCCCGTGGAGTCGGAGCCCACAGGTTGAAGGGCAGAGTTACGAGAAGGAGCGAAAGTCCAGTATCTATGGGGGTGTTTGAGCATTTGAATAATTATTTTACCTCTGGAAGAGAATGATTTCACATTAGCAGTAAATGGGGAATGAGGGTAGAATGCTAATGAGTTATCGTTTTCCTTCATGGTTCACTTACGTTTTAAGGTTAAGTCTCTAACCTGGGGGCGGGGCCAGTCTCTCCGACGTGCTGGGACTGACATCGGCTTAGTGGGATGTGGCACTTCCAGCTGAAACGGTGTGTGTGGTCACCCGGCTGTACGCGTAACACGCGTGTGTGTTGTGAGCCTGGAGGGGAGACCATGCGAGAGCGCTTAGCACCCGGCTTGGCACGGAGCCGTCACTCCTTAAGTGTTTGTAGAATTGACTCGAACTCTCGACTGAGCAGATCCACGCCTGCGCTTTGAGGTTTTGTAGGGAAGTCGTCGGCCCACTGCTCTGTGTCTGTTGACGGCATTTCCCGTTTGGGCCCCTTTGAACAACCTTCCCTCTCGGGCGTCGGTCCTTGTATAGTCTCAACTTCCTAATCTGTGAAATGGGTATAGCAGTGTGTACCTGATAGGGTTATTGTAAGGGTTCAATAGTGTGTGATCAGCACATTACATTTGTTTACTTAGCACAGTGCCTGGCTCACAGGAGGCTAAATAAGTGGTAACTAGAATAATAAAATCTGAATGTTTTATTTTATTTATTTATTTTGGAGGAGGGGGTGAGAGAGAGAGAGAAACATTGATTGGTTACCTCCTGAAAGTTGGGCACAGGAGGAACCTGCAGTCCCTCCCCAGCAACCAGCCCCCATCACCCCGGTCAGGATTGGGCAAGATGGTCCCGATTGGCTCCAATTGCCGGCCAGGCTGAGGGACCCCACCCGTGCACAAATTCATGCACTGGGCCTCTAGTAAAAACCTAGGTATGTGCCCTAGGCTGGGAATTAAACCCACAACCCGCCCTAGCCGGTTTGGCTCAGAGGATAGAGTGTTGGCCTGCAGACTGAAGGGTCCTGGGTTCGATTCCCGGTCAGGGCTCATGCCCGGATTGTGGGCTCTATTCCCAGTAGGGGGTGTGTAAGAGGCAGCTGATTAATGATTCTCTCTTATTGAGGTTTCTATCTCTCTCTCCCTCTCCCTTCCTCTCTGAAATCAGTCGTATATAATAAAAGTGTAATATGCTAAGTGTCCAATCATTCCACCAGTTGCTATGATGTGCACTGACCACAAGGGGGCAGACGCTCCAACCGATAGGCTAGGGTCCGGCGATCAGGACTGGGCAAGACAGACTGGACACGCCCTAGAGCCCTCCTGCAGTCCCTCCCCGGCAGCCAGCCCCCTTCACCCCGGTCAGGATTGGGCGAGATGGCCCTGCCAGGCTGCGGGCCCCCCCCCCCCCCTGTGCACGAATTGGTGCACCGGGCCTCTAGTAAAAATGTATTTTTGAAAAATAAAAGTAAACTCAACCTTTCGGTCCCACGGCTGACACTCTAACCACTGAGCAACCCAGCCAGGGCAAGTCCGAATGTTTTATATAGACGCTGTTCGGAATCAGTAGTTTCGTCCACGGGAATTCCAGGTGGACTGACAGCTGCGGGTAGGGCCTCTGCCTTCTGTAGCCAGACATCATCTCCGCGCGCTCTTCCTCTGGAACGCCCGAGGCAGCACGTTGTATGCCTGCACGCTGACAGCGGCGTCCCCGCCCTCCATTCCAGGTGGCGAGGAGTACCTCATCAACCTCATAGACTCTCCGGGCCACGTGGACTTCTCCTCCGAAGTGTCCACGGCCGTTCGCATTTGCGATGGATGCATCATCGTGGTCGATGCCGTGGAGGGAGTCTGCCCACAGGTAGGGCGGGGGCTGTGGTGTGGAAATACGTCGCCGGTGAGAGGAGGTGCGGGAGGAGGAACTGACCGCTGATGGCCGTGTGCACTTAGACGTTTCACTGACAGTCACTGGTTTTACATTTGATGTTCAATAACCTCCCAGTCTGTGGTGGAGTTACCTCACCTAAGTTTTCAGGGTGACTTTAACTTTAGATTCTTTTTTTTTTAAATACATTTTTATTGATTTCAGACAGGGAGGAAGGGAGAGAGGGAGAAATAGAAACATCAGTGATGAGAGAGAATCATGGATCGGCTGCCTCCTGCGCGCCCCCCACTGGGGATCTGCCTGCAACCCAGGCCTGTGCCCTGGCTGGGAATCGAACAGTGACCTCCAGGTTCGTAGGTTGATGCTCAACCACTGAGCCACGCCGGCCGAGTGGGCTTGTCACTGTCTTTTACACAGTCTTATTTATCCTCAAGTAAATGGCCAGTTCTACAAAGGTAAGGATGATGTCTAGTCTGTACTTTTTTGCTGATGTGTTCTGCACTTTGTGAATGTCTAGTGACCACCTGTGCCTGACGGGCATAGTCCGAGTCATAAAGGAGTATGGAAATGAGCTGGTGATTAGTTCTTTAAAAAGTCTGTTTGTATTGATTTCAGAGAGAAGGGAGAGGGAGAGAGCGATAGAAACACCTGTGATGAGAATCACTGATTGGCAGCCTCCTCCATGCCCCCTACTGGGGATCGAGCCACAACCCGGGCATGTGCCCTTGACTGTAATCAAACCCTGGACCCTTTAGTCCACAGGTCAATGCTCTACCCACTGGGCCACACAAGCTAGGGCGGAATAAGCTGATTATTAATCAAGATTTCTTAAATGTGCTTTAATTTAATTTCAGATCACGAGTTTTCCCCTTTCTGTTTCCATCAGACACAGGCAGTTCTGCGCCAGGCCTGGCTCGAAAACATCCGGCCCGTGCTGGTGATCAATAAGATCGATCGCCTGATCGTGGAGCTGAAGTTCACCCCGCAGGAGGCCTACTCCCACCTCAAGAACATCTTAGAGCAGGTATCGCATTCTTTACTGCGGTCGTTTAAAAATCGGGGCTCGAAGAGGAGTTGCAAGGAAGTTGCTGGGTGGAGTCTGAGGCGTGGCTCTGGAAAATTCACGTCCTTAGAATTTACTCACTTCCCCACGTACGAGGCACACGTGCCGGCATCATCAGAGCACGGCAGAGGCGGCAGCGCACGCCTCCTCTCGGGGGCCCACTGGCTGGGAGCGTCCTCGCGCGTGAGGCCTGGACAATAGGTTTTAATGCTCTTTAATGTTTGAGATCTTGTCCTTCCGGTTCCACAGGGAGGCGATGTTAGGAGGCTGTTTGGTTTTTGTGTTTTGTTTTGTTTTAATTTTTTCCCAGAAAGATTGGATAGTTTCTGTGTTGGTTTTTTAAAAAAATATATTTCTTTGTTGATTTCAGAGAGGAAGGGAAAGGGAGAGAGAGAGAGAGAAACATCCATGATGGGAGAGAATCATGGATCAGCTGCCTCCTGCACGGCCCCCACTGGAGATGGAGCCCACAACCCGGGCATGTGCCCTTGACCAGGAATCAAACCCTGACCTCCTGGTTTATTGGTTGATGCCCAACCACTGAGCCACACAGGCCGGGTGTGGATTTCTGAATAATAGCTTCCATCGTCTCTCTGAGGTCGGAAATAAGATGACTTGAGAGTGAAAATGGTTGGGAGTCAGAGGTCGGGAAGGGGCCTGCGGAGAGTGGTGACAAGTTCACATACTAGCTGATGTGCGACATGGCCGGGCGAAGGCCGACTAAGGCTGCAAACTAGGATCCTGGGAGCCCTGAGTTCCCGGGACACCAGGCCTCAGTCCTGAAATACAGGTAAAGGGACAACACATTCGTGTTTGCATTAAAATAGTCATCGCAAGAATGCCCCGCAGAAGCCGACAGCCTAGCTGTGCTGGGGTCAGAAAGAACCGGTAATAACACGGAAGTTATTCATTGTTGTCAATGTCAACCTCACCTGAGCCCAGGCGGGGACTGACGGGGTTCCGGGCGTGGCCAGTGCTCGTCACGGGGTCTCCCGCCCCGGGCGCCAAGCCGCCGACTGACCCTCTGCCGTTTCACCCTCTCTCCTAGATCAATGCGCTCACGGGAACTCTTTTTACTTCTAAAGTCCTAGAAGAGCGGGCGGAGAGAGAGAGCGAGCCCCCCGGGACCCCGGGGGCCGGCCCGGCGGAGCAGGTGTACGACTGGAGCGCGGGCCTGGAGGACACGGACGACTCCCACCTGTACTTCTCCCCGGACCAGGGCAACGTGGTCTTCGCCAGCGCCATCGACGGCTGGGGCTTCGGGTGGGTCCCGTCCCTCAGATCCAGCCTCGCTGTGGCTTCCAGACACAGCTGATGTGTGTGCTTTATATTTCATTGATGTCAGAGACCAGGGGAGAGGGAGAGAGAGAGAGAAACATCCATGATGAGAGAGAATCACAACCGGCTGCCTCCTGCACGCCCCCCACTGGGGATGGAGCCCGCAACCCGGGCCTGTGCCCTTGACTGGGAATCGAACCCTGACCTCCTGGTTCGTAAGTCATTGCTCAACCACTGAGCCACACCGGCCGGGCTACACAGCTGATCCTTTAAATGGAACTTTGTGTTTTGAGATCATTGTAGATGCACCAGAGTTGTAAGAAGGAATACAGATTCTCTTTTTACTGATCGCTGAGGTAGCAGCCACACAAGGCAACCAATTGATGTTTCTGTCCTGTTTCTCTCTCCTCCCCTCCCTCCCTCGCTTTCCCCCTCCCTCCTGAGTCTCTCTCAATAGAATCCATAAGAACATGTCCCCGGATGAGGATTAAACACAGTAAAAGGGGCCATGGCATGAATTCTGCTTCACGGGGAGGTAGAGAGACGGGACAAGACATGGGCCCTGGAGCCCGACTGTGTGGGCTGCTGCCCAGCTTCACGTGCTCCCTGTG